TTACAAAGTTATGATTTATTTTAATAATATTTAAATAAATAATTTATTTTATTTAATTATTAATTAAATAGCTTATTTATAATTAAGTCATTAATTTATAATTTATTGTTATTAGAATTAATTTTTTATTTTATTTTTATTAATATTAAATTTAAATTTATTTTTGAATTTTATATTTTAGTTTTCTATAGTTATGTGTAATATAATTTATTTTTAAAACACATTTACTGTGCAACATAGTGGTAGGGATATTTAAAAATTTTTATTGCAGCCTGTGTTCGAATCCCCACAGCGGTCTTGCGAGGGCAGGTGGCCAGCAGCGTTGGAGCCAGCTTGGCAGTCAAGCAGTACCTTGGCAGTCGGCATGTGGTAGCGCGGGGGGCGAGCAACGCCTGTTTGGCTTTTTTTTTATTATTGTTAAATTATTGGGTAGAAATTACGCAAAAAATTATTCTGGACGGAACTTGGTTCAATCGAAAAATTTCCGACGTGCGTTTTACCGTCGAATTTTTTTTGCCAAAAAATTGTCTTTAGAGAAACTTCCAAATTCACTGAAAAATTAAACAAATTTTCGCCGTAAAATCCCCCACGGTAATAGCGTGATTTTTATGCAATTGCAAATATATTGAAAATCTTTACCTTGTAAAAAACATTATTGGGTTTCTTCCAGCAAAACGGACTACTTATCACATCTGCATCATCGAGGATGGTTTTACGAGCATGTCCTCAACCAACTCAAACTTCATTCCACAATCGTGGATCCAATTATGAGTTGCTTGATCATGTATGATTGATGATGATGTCCATTATCGTAGCTTTGGAGCAAGGGCGAAACCCCCTTAGCTCATGTCAATATTGCCAGGGGCGCTACCCTCTTGGAACCCCTAATGTATCTGAGAGGTATGACGATCAAGGATATGAACAAATATGGATCGAAACAAATTCAAGGCAACCTAACATACATTTTGTAGAAATTGATCCATAAGTCAATTACATCATTTTGATTTTTTTTTGCAAACAAATTATCCATATTCAAACCTAAATTTTGTTTTAAGGATAATGTCATTATTATAAAATATTGATGATTATTTTTAAAATTGTAAATGTACTAAAGTATAAAAGAATAATTAGTTGCTAAAAATGCCTATATAATATATGCAAAAAAAATGGTGTACACTTTTAGCGACACAAAATAATAAGCCTTTTGATTCCGCCCTTGCTTGGAGCATTGATAAATTGGATGGTTTAAATAAAGAATTCATGAAGACTCGTGTTAAGTTTAGCGGTGGCAAATAAAAGAAGTTGAACTCGAAAATTATTGATTTTCAGTAATTAAAAGGTAAGAAAAAGCCATTCACCTGATGGGGAAACAATAATCTATCAAAAGTTTCAAAGATTGAGATGGAGACTAATCAACACAAACAAAAATCTGACAATTAGCAAATTTTTACAATCGTAATTATCATCTTAAAATAAAATGCAAAAAAACATAAAGGTTGAAAATTAAGAGAATCAAGCAATAGTTGCTTTTATAGTGGTTCGGTCAAAAGCATATGAACCTACATTCCCGCCCCGGAGGTCTCTTTGAGTATTACACTAGAGACCTTTCTCCTTTAAGCTCCCAAAGCTAGGCGGAGAGAAATCTTTTACAATCTTTTCAACAACCTGGTGAGATAGAACCTTACCTCTTTTTCACCCTTCCTAGGATGGCAGAAGAACAAAAATCAACGACTTCCTTTATCACCCTTTTAGTGATGTAGAGAACTACGACCTAACTTTTATTATACTGCGTGGCAAGGAAGATAACCTCAACATTCTCGGACTGATATATTTTTTCCTTAGAGCCAACCTAATAGACCTAGTTAGACACTTGGAGGAAACAAGGTGGAGGATAACTTGGAGCAACCATGTTGGGACCCCTCACACTCAAACTTCTCATTTCTCCT